TAATGATAGCTCTGAATAGAACTGCGTTGGGCTAGTGTCAAACTACACCAATCGGTGCACAAGGCGCTCTAGTAATCTCAAGTCTAAGGATCACATGCACCACCATTCATTAGAGGATTTATTCCATAGACACTGGGGTTACCATCCATATGGAATCCTCTGGTGGGTTTGTCCAATGAAGTTGCCTCTAGCAAGCACCCATGTGTTGCACCAAGTTGTCAACAAACAACCTTGACAAGTGAGATCAGTCACTGTCTTTCAACAGCGTTGTTCAACACTATGATAGCCTTATCATATTATCTGTGTCCTTGGTCAAAATAATATTGGGGCTACGGACGTTTTTAGAATGGCCGTCATATGTGATCATAGGGTTCTCACTATCAAGATTTGAAACACTTGATACTCCCGTCACGGTTCTACCATCCTAAGGACATATATTATTACATACACGATATAGAAGAATATGCCTTTTTTGTTGATAAATAAACATTTATTACAGAGTCAATCTTACAATAATTGATTGGCTCTAGTGCACCTACTCTAACAATCCCACCATTGGTTAGGGTTTTGGGAGCAGCCTAACATTTTCAAATATTGCAAGGACATGATCGAGGGGTGCAACCAAAGGAGTATGCTCACCATATCTAGGGAGTAACGTTGGAGTTTTTCTTGGCTCTTTCCTGCATTCTCCCCTGTGCTCTGTGTGCTACCTCTTTGAGGACTGGTGCCTATCCCTATCACCTCAATGTCAGTTATCTATCATTTTTCCCTTTTCTCTATCTTCATCTTAAGCAGGGGCTTCGTTCGAATTCCTATCGTCGCCCTGCTTTAGAGCGGCCAACGAGTCTTCAACTTGCAAGGGCTTTTCCTCCATCTTTTAGAAGCAAGGTAGAGACACATTATCCTTGGCTTGTAATTCTTTCCATAGGTCGGTTTGCAAACAAACTCTGACAATGAAGAGTGTTTGGATTGACTCTTGCGAGGCATTAATGACCCTACTTTTCCCAGTTGAACCTCTTCAGGTAAGATCTTAATGGCTCACCCTTCTCTTGTCAAATGTTACTGAGGTAATTCAACGATATGGAAAATCATTTGCTCACAAAATTTTGAAGGAACAATGAGGCAAGCTGCTTCTAGGATTCTATCGAGTCTGTTGGAGGACCTTTAAACCATTTCTTCCTTCCTTTAGTCAATGTGATAGGGGGAGGAATGGGGTTGTTTGGGGGTGATGCAATTGGTTCAGGCAGTTTGTCGAGCAGGTGGTGGCAGGACAAAAAAAAAGTGTTGTTTAGGCAAAATGAAAGGTGGAAAAAATGGTAAGGAGTGTTTAGAGGCTAAGGGTGTTGTGTTTGAGGTAGTGGGAATAGGTTGGGAAGGCTAGAGGTGAAAAAATGAGCAGTTTGTGAAAACTGCCTATAGCAGACGTTGGGCGTGCAGAACGTGGACAAGGAGCATTGCGCACTAGTGCTACTGTAGGGAAAAAGCAGTGAGCAGGTGGGGTGCAATGGAGCCTAGGCAATTTTGTAGGGATTTTAGACCACCCAACACTATCCACACACTTCAAGAAGTTGCACAAACAACAAACAACAACAAAAAAATCCAAAAAAACCTAGATGTAAATGGCCAAAAAAGGATTATCCCTTTCCAGAAACAGTCCTTTGACATTGGCAAAAGGTGAACAACCAAGGCAATTGGAGACCAGGGTTTTGAAGAGCAATCCAAGATGGTTTGAATGGTATCAACCACAATCATTTCTGATTGCAAAATTGACCAAAAAAGCGACTGAAAAACGATCATTTTTGGGACAAGAAGTGCAATTTTTTGGCGAACAGCAAGACCAACGGTGACGTGAAGCACACAAATAGAAAGAAGGGTTCAATAGCTTTCTAACTATGGCTGAGGCGTGAATTTCTGACATTAGGAACGTCCAAAATCAAGCTTAGAAACAACATTTCAAGCTAAGTGCAAAGTAAAGCCCTTCTATAGGTAGTCTGAAGGAGGAAATGGAAAGAGTTCCTTATGCTTCAGTTGTAGGAAGCTTGGTGTATGGAATGGTGTGTATAAGACTAGATATAGCTTATGTAGTTGGGGCTGTTAGCATATTTCTGTCAAATATGGGAAAAAGCATTAGGATGCAGTTAAGTGGTTTATGAGGTATCTTCGGGGCACTTCCAAGTTAAAACTTTATTTTGGAAGTGATAAACCAATTTTGGTTGGCTACACAAATGCTAACACGGTTGGAGACATGGATTCTCATAAGTCTACTTCTGGTTATCTGATTACCTTTACTGGTGGAGTTGTTTCTTGGTAATCGAGATTGCAAAAGTGTGTTCCACTTTCTATGACAGGAGCAGAATTTATCGCAATAACGAAAGCTTGCAAGGAGTTGATATGGATGAAGAAGTTCATGAGAGAGTTTGATTTTAAGCAACAACGGTATGTTTTGTTTTGTGCAACCAAAGTGTTATTCATCTTGTGAAAAATTATGCATTCTATTCGAGATCTAAACATATTGATATGAGGTATCATTAGATAAGCGATGCTCTTTACGATGGCCTATTTGAAATCAAGAAAATCCATATAGATGACAATGGCTCAGATATGTTGACAAAGGCTAAAGTAAGGGAAAAGCTTGAGGTTTGTTGCACTATCGTCGGTATGGTCCATTCCCCCACATAGTCAGGAAAGGGGGAGATTTGTTGGGCTCGAGTTTCCCTCATGTGGAGGATCACCCAAAACCCAAAAGCCCAAAATAAAATTGAAAAGAAAAAAAAAATGAGTAGAGTAGAGTAGTAGTAGGTGGTCACTCATTTTTCTAGAGTGGGTGAATAGTGAGAAAATAGGGTATTGTTCACAAAAACAAAATTAGCATAAGTGAGAGAGAGGCAGTCGCACAAGGTTATTCCGATGACGATCCAATGGTAAATCTTGCTTTGTTTTTGCTCAAATTTTAGATTGTTATTTTTTACAACAAGATCTTTACATCAATAGTCATTTTCTTGATAGCCATTTTTGTGGAATTTTGCCTCTAGAAAGACAGCCAAATCAAAGAGTTTGAATTACAAAATTTCATTATGTATGTCCTTATTTAGCCTGACGATCAGAAGGTCATCTCTAATCTGATCAACCTGATTTTTGGTCAACATGTAGAGGATGTTTGGCTCTTCAATTTGGACGGTTGGTTTTCGATTTTAAAAGCTGAGTGGAGTTATACAACATGCGGTTCAGACGCTTTCCTGGTGAGTTTACTTCATATCTTTGTAACTCTTTTGTGTATTTCACTTTGTTGGAGTTAGGATAAAACTCAAAATTTGTGTGGAATATTTTTGGTGGATTGTGGCTATTGTAAACACTTCTTATTATAGTGGGTTAAAGTGGATCATTAGATCCCGTAGTTTTTTAATCTCTTTATATTGAAGAGGTTTTTCCACGTAAATTGCTTATGTCCCTTGTGAATTTGGTGGTTGTTTTTCAAGCATATTTGCTAAAGGTTTTGCATCTCACATATTCATTCAAGTAGGAAAGGTTTTTGTTAGTGCATTCTTTCCTTTCAATTTGGCCACTGCTTAGGCCGGATTCCAACCGGCATTCAACACCCCACCAAAATTTTAGTATACTCTTTTATTATCATTTTTTTTTTTTCAGTTTCAAATTAAACATATTAGATCGGTTAATACTTTATAGAATATGTTGGGATTATATTGTTTGGATTGTTGGTGATAAAGTTTGTTTGGATTGAAAGAAATTTAAAGAAGTTAATTAAAATTCTGTAGAAAGTGTGCAGGGTGAAGATGAAAAGTGTGGGAGGACGAAAAAGAAAATTTTGTAAATTTTATTAGTTTAGGGCAATTTATTATATGTTAATTAAAGGGTAAAAAAAAAGTCATTCTAATAGTTAATAACCATTAAGAAATGGGGGTTATGAGTAATAATTTTTGTTTTCTGTATTACCGTTAAAGCGGCAAATATATAGAGGTTTTCCATAAATATCCCTTTAAAAAATTGTATCAATATTATGATAAGGACATCCAATACTTTTCAATAACAATGGTAAATAAAATAAACCCATATTATATTATTCATTTTAAAATCTAACTTTAAAATTAATATTCCTCCCCGTATTATATATATGAATCTCTTAAACCATAAAATAATAGAAAAAGTGCTTAAAATAAATAATCTTATAGTTTCATAAAGTTAATCTCTTAACTGTAATTTGCTTTTTTTCTATTAAAAAAAAAAAAAGTAATTATTAAGAAAGAAACAATTATTTTTTTATTTTCATGTCTCAAATTTACATATTATGAACAAAATTTTCGTAGAATGATCAACCGACGAATCTCTCCGACAAATGCATTTGAGACTAAAGTAATAAAATGTATCTAAAATTCAGAGTGGCTCTTTCTGACAATCTCTAGTGCATCTGATGATCACTTAATTAGGACGTTAACCACATCCAATGAAATTAGTAAAATTAATCAATAAAATATGTATAGCAATGCAACTCAATCCAACAGCACAAACCAAAGGAAAATCCAAGTTAAAAAAGAGTAAACTGACATATTCCCACCCACGGTTTGACGAAATCCTAGTGGGTACCCTTATTTCCATTTATTCTAAATTTCTACCCTTAAAATAATACTATTAGCAATTTTTAGTGAAGGCAACCGTTTAGTCATCGTTCACAGGTCAAGAGTTTGTGTTCATCTCGTTTTTTGGTGAGGTGGTGACTAGCAATCAACGAGTGATGAAAGGTTATGAAGAGAAAGGTTTTGTAGAGGGGAGGATGGGGGTTCGAATGGTGGTAACAATGGTGATTTTGGGAGGAAGAATCACCGGAAAAAGGCGAAAAACGTCAAGAGTGACATCGGCCAACGTGCGCAAAGCACTGATAGGGACGACGATCTGCTAATGTACGCCTCCTCCTGCAAAATGACCAATTTACCGTTTAACCGTTATATCCAACAATTTTCCATCACTTTAAGGGTGGGAATCTAGAATAAATCAAACCCGGGGTACCAACTTAGGATTTCATTAAACCTCGGTGAGAATATTTCATTTACTCGTTAAAAAATAACAATATTTTTCCTGTCTCCGTTTCTTCTCTCGGATACATCATACATGGGCTTACATTAGAATGTTGGCTAAACTGTAGACTGGAAATCGCAGACATATTTCAGAAACGTTGTTCTACTACAAAACAACCTATGAATAATGATCTGGAGTTGCTGAACGGGAATAGAGCAGTAAGGTAATAACCAAAAAAGCAGAAGCTTCAGTGCTAACAACTGCACAATGATAAGTTTGCTCCTTCAGCCTCAGGGTGAGGAATTGCTTGAATCTACAACTAATTAATGCTACTTTGATGTGTCTGTCAATGCTGCTTCTGTTTCACCACCGTGGACCAGCTGGGAAATGGTGAAGACAATTAATAGTTGTAGTCAAATGAAGAACACAAAATATAAATACAACAGAGGAATAATTTGCTCATACCAAGGAGCCAGCTTGCTCATATGCTTCCATAACTTTTGGATTTTCCTCATCCTCATAGCCAACTTGTAATATTCTTGGTCCATTTACAGACCAAAAGGCTCTCCGGCCTGCCTCCTGGGGAGAAAAAAAAGACATGAGGTTTATCATCAAGATAAGATTTCTTGATTTCTCCAAGAAGGTCATACAACAGAAAGCAGACAGGAAGAACAACATAATTCTATTCAGGAAAAAATTATGCTTCTCCCTGGACTCAGCACGAGAGAGTCCTCCTGAGAACACAGCTTCAGTGGCTCACATAAGTAAGCACTAAGCACTACATCCAAAGTAATTATCCACTTTCAAATTTATTGGTTCGATTTGATGATATCGACATAATTATCTGTCATCATTGATTACCCTAAGTCACCATGGAGAGAAAAAAGAGGTAAATTACACATCTTGATATTAAAAATTAACTAAACTGCAAAACATAACCTAAGCCCAGAAAATCTTGACAGTAAAACCAATAACACAGCATGTTTCATTATCCTACATCTACGTAAAAGACTAAGAGATTTAAACCATCAATTATCTGTCATATGATTGATTATCCTTGATCACAGTGAAGAAGGAAATAAATAAAAAATAAATAAAAAGAGAGGTGGACTACACCTCTTGATATCAAATAATAACTAAACAGCTACTAAACAAAAGCTAACCCCGGAAATTTTGAAGGTGAAACAAATGACACAGCATGTTTGGCATAAACGTCCATATATTTCTTTTGCTACTTTTAGCTATATGATCTAATCAACGGATAAAAAAGTTTTTTAAAAAAGGAGGAAAAAGAAGATGAAAATAAATTAAAAAAGAAGTCACTGAACAACCTGCAATGTGAGAAGGTAAATAGATTCCAGTGCTTGAACACGAATTTCAGGATCATCAACTGTTTCACGCTCAATCCTTAGAGCACTTCCAAGCTCAAGTGGCATTTTCGATATGTCTTCTTCGCTATATATCTGGCCAGAAGCAGCCAGATCTCATAAGTTATTGTGTTACATAGAAACAAGAAACAAGGTTGTAAAACATCCAACATTGCAGAATATTGGCAGAAATAATAAACTACTTTCAAATTAAGAACATAGGAATCCAATGATACAATTTTCAGATCAAATCAAAGAATGAAAGTATCTTCTAAGATCACTAATGCAGCTGTAGACTAGCAGCTACATTCTCTGTAAAGTGATAATTGGAATAATACCACCAGATAGCATAATATGTAAGCAGAACATAACCTAACAGCCAATGAGATTCAGTGAAGCAAATATTTCCCACCAAAAAAAAAAGTTGAAGAAAGAGCTTTGGCTGCGTCTGTTTCATTATTTCACCACTATACTATCCTTACTCCAAATATAAATATGTGTTTGTTTCCTTATTTTCAAAATCATATCCTAAAAAGAAATTTTTTAAACCCCCTAAGTTTGTTAATTGACAGAAACACCCCCAACAAATTTTTTTTATAAATTAACAAAAACACCCCCACCCACCCATAGTTACCAGATTCCGGCAACCACTATTGGTAATGGCCGGAATCTGTCACAACGGCGCACTACTAGCTGAAATTGGCCGGTAATGCGTTGATCTGGCTTTTTCCGGCCAGATCCATTTTTCCCAAATTGACGGTCATATCTTTGGCTGTCATTGACGGCCAAATTCGTGGTTTTCAGCCAGATCGGCGAACAATTGGCCAGATCCAGCCGGTCGTGCGCCATAATGTCAGATTCCGACGGTAGTGGCTGGAATCTGGAAACTGTGGGTGGGTGGGAGTGTTTTTATCATTTTAAAAAAAAAAATTATATATTAGGGTGTTTAGTTAAATTAGCAAACTTAGGGGTTTTTTTGTTAATTTTTAAATTCTACCTCGTAATAATCACCCAGCTCTATTTACCACTAATATTTCAAAAATACTACTCAAAATAATAAAACAAACACGCCCTTATAATTTTAACTGCAAGATCAAGAAAATGCTAAAGACATTACTTTGTTGCCAGCAACTGGAAGTAGTAGAGCTGGCCAAAGAAACTCAGAAATCAGAAGCAGATTCTGCAACTGATGCTCAGCTTCAAAACAACAGTTCCGAATCGTTCCAGAAACCTGCAAGCAAAGGACCATCACCTAAAATGTCAAGCCAGATCAGCAATGGGCTAATCACAATTAATTTAGTTGAATCTATCTTGAGCTTTACTACTCAAGCTTAACTAGTGTAAGCCTTTAACTAGATAATTTGTTGAGCAAGGAATCTTCACAAGACATCAAGTAATCAGTCAATCCAGCAATCACCAAAAGTTTACATATCTCTTTTCCTCATGCACTATGCTTTTTAACTTCTGCTACTATAGTCCTATCTTTCATTAAATCTCTCATCACGAGACACTCACACAACTGAATGCAAACATCAAGTATGGTTAATACATTGAAAAGCTTCTCAGAGCCATTCTTATAAAAGAAAATGCTACAGAGGGCAGAAAGTCAGACATTGTCCTAGTAAGGGCCAATAGTTATCAAATTTCACAGCAGCCAAAGAGATTATAAACCCCTACATCACTATGGATGATCTAAGGAACAATGGCTTTGTTCAACAAATTTTATATATTGGCTAAGCATCATAACAAGACAAAGCCTAAATAACAGAACCTAAAGTTGAAAGAAGAACAAGTAGAGACCTACAATTTGTGAACTTCACTTGCTAGGTTTATTTTCTTCCATTATTAAGTTGCTCATCCAATTAAAAAACGTATACATAAGTGAAAATTTTACTAATTAACAGGCCTCTGGAAGAAATTCAATACTTTGCAGTAATCTTTCGTTCATACCCCTTTCTTCCGTAACGGACTAGTTGAATCAAATTGTCTAATAATCTGCTTTAGCAGTCCTCGATTTTGGTCCAATAAAATCTTCCTTCCTGCTTCTTTCTTCGAAATATTTACCAGTATGGAACCAACATGTTCAAATGGATCATCTGGTTCATAAGAGGAAACATAAAATGTTAGACCAAATTGTGGAGAAGTAAAAGATTAATAGAGTTGTAAGTGCAGAGTAAAAACACACACACGAAAAAAAAAAAAAAAAAAAAAGGAATGAACTCATGCTTTTGTAAATTTCGGGAAATAACCTCAAAACGAGGTGCCTATTAACTGCCAGATATTGGGACTCCTACCTGATGAAGCCTATAATTTTATCAAAAATCTCAAAAAAAAAGTTTTGAACATTCCACAGAATTAGAAGGCAGACCGCCATCCAAAGCCAGTCCCATAACCACCTAAATATCTCTAATAGAACAACCATGTAAAGTAGAAACAAATAAGGTGTCATTCACCAACTGGGATACATTTAGGACTCAATTGAGTTATCAGAAACACTAAATTTTTTATAAAAATAACCTTCTCTATTTTTGAGGCTACATACCAGGATAAAATTCAGTATAACAGGAAAGAAGAAAAACCTACCACCAGTTTCACTGGAGGATCTACAGAAAGATCTTACAAGCTTCATAAGATACAATCCTTGAATCCGCTCATTGTCAGTCTACTAACCAGGCAAATTCACACTGTCAATAATTAATGTTTGGCATAAAATACATAATCATTATTCACTATCTTTAGGCATATACGAGATCGTGATTACTTAAAAGATAATGCTGTTTTAAATTGGAAAAAATACAAAAGCATCAGTGATAAACTGACACTTGCATAAAATGAAGGAAAGTACCTGAAGAAAGGAAGAGATGCCATCATCCAACTGTGTGAGATTCACTAAAAGCATAACCAGCAATCGTGTAATACTTGAGTCTGGCTTATATAACAAATCCATAACCGTTTTAATCATACCCATTTGAACCATCTTCACAGCTAATTGAGAATTCTGGGATAGATTTACCAGTGCTTCAGCTGCAGGTTCTGAAACCTCCTGAAATATTAACAAATAATTAATCCAAAATCCTACCCAAGGGATAATGATAACAACAACACAATGCTATGCATCATATTCATGAAACCAAACTCCCAAAACTAAGTTGACCTATATCTGCCATAATTCTGTTCCTTATTCAAGCAGTTCTTTATATGCCAAAATTGCCACAGGCCTAAAATTTTCTATATCCAATAGATGTTATGCCAGCAATGCCTGTTTTCCTTTTGCTCTTATTTTGTTTGGCAAGCTGCTGTAAGTTTTTCATTAGATCTTTAATATTTTTCCCATGAAATTCACCGTTTATCCAAGTTCAATAACAAACACTCTAAATTGATAAAAACGGAGGAGTCTTACTATATGAACAAAAATCTCAATTAAAAAGTGACATATTTGGATAGGCCTGATAAATTTGGATACTCCTTTTCCTGCTTCTAACTTTTTGTCACCAAAAGACTCAAAAAATAGAATCCACCAGAATTTCAAATTCTAATACTGTAAATACAAATAACACTATCAATTTCTTCAAATGAGCTTAGTATTCCACCAAAATCAACAGAATTTCAAATAAATATAAATGAAACAATGATTTCAAAAGTTTAGAGTTTGTTGATGAGAATGAGATTTAGAAGCATCATCCTGTAAATCAATATTTAAGTAACATTAATTTTCACAAAGAGAATACCTTATTTTCACTCAAAAGCCGAGACAGTGGTGGCAACGCCATCTTGGCATACTTGGAAAGGGACTGCAGGCCATCATCAGACCCGGTTAATCCCCGAACAATATCAACAGCTGCCTTCTTCAACTAATTTATTTGCATAAAACAACACATTCATTCCAAAATTTACAAACAAAATCAAGAAACAATTATTGATATCGAATAATCATGAAAATATTAGTAAGCTAATTTCCCAAAAGATCAATAAGATAAGTTCTTTTTCTTTCTACTAGGGACTCAACCCAGCCGTATGAATCTCAATATGATCAGACAAAGAGAATCCAACTCATGAATTTTAACAAATTAAGCAACCACAAAAGCAAACATAAGGCAGAATTAATTCAATTAAAAAGAGAGAATTAACAAATTAATATAAGAATCACCAAAAATTTTAAAAGTGAATCAAAGAACCTTATTTATATAGGGAGGATTTTACACATGAATTCCATTAATTAGACACCAGAACGCAAATTCTACCCTAGCCAATGCCAAAAAAATTCAAAAATTCAAAATTCAAAATTCAAAAAAAAAAAAAAACCCATAAGAAACTAGGGCAAGATCAGTGGAAATAATCAATTTTTTTAAAAAACTATATTACCGCAACGGCACAGAAACCAAACAGAGTGTTAGAGGAGTGAAAGAAACTTACTGGAGGAGATGGAGAAGATAGAAAATCCAGCAACTCTTCCATCTCGGTGGCCATTGCTGCTCCTCCGCCGCTCTCCGCAAATTTTACATGTATTTATAGATCGTCAAAACGACTGCGTGTTGGTTGCTACGTCCAATCAGCTAAACGCAGCGTTTCAATTGTTATGTCCTTACACAATTTTGATAAATGTAGTAATGAAGTAATGAAACGAGGTGAACTAAATCCAAATTTAAAAGTAAAATATTCCCTTATAACTTAAAAAAAAATTTAACTAAACTAGTCAATTATTCACTATAAATTTTCTATAATATTACTCATTTTATACATATGCCAAAAAAAACTCATACAAAATTATGTATAATCCAATTATACTATATAGTGATAATTATTTTCCTTGTTTGGTTTTAATTCTAAACCAAATAAGAATATTATTAATTAGGATTCCTAATAGCATTAATATATATTAAACATATTAATCAACTAATTAGGAATTTTATTTTTAATTAATATTAAATATAAACATTTAATCTTAATTAGGGTAATTTAATTAATATAATTAATACTAATATATTTAATACATATATTAACTATTAATTTGGTAATTTATTTATTACACAATAAATGCACATAGGCGTCAACCTATGTAGAATTACCAAATCACTCTTGTCTTTGTGAAAAGATCAAAATACATTTTAACCCTTCTTTGATTAAATACACATTTTGCAATCAAACTCTTCTATATGTGTGACCCGTAGGCTCCTTATCATGTTGGTAGTGAGTAATATCGCGATTAACCACCAATTAATCGTCTCATTATTTATAGACCAAGATTGATATCTACCAAGACGTTATAGCCACCCAACAGGTAGAGATCAGCGAACAGTTGACACTTGTCAACAATATGTTACCATGCAATCCAACCATTTCATCATACATTATCTCATCAAGGCTGAGGTACAAAAATAATGTCATCCTCTGATCATCTTGATATAGTTGGTGTTTGGTTATCGAACTAATAATCAGAATTAAATTGGATTTGAGTGACAACTCAATTCCATTGTGGCCACAGATTTATGGTCGTTGTCATATAATCAAACTACACAAGGAGATAACTTCTCTTGTTACTAAGAGTGATGAATCTTTTGTTGATCCATCATAACCATGATATATGTCATGATGTAGCCAATCAATATCATAATGATAACCCTAAAAAGAATTATGCTAGGCTAGTGTCAAACCACACCACTACGTACACATGACACTCCGATGATCTTAAGTCTTAGGATCACATGCACCACCATCCATAAGAGGATTTGTTCCATAGATATTGGGTTTACCTTCTGCATGGAGTTCTCTGGTGGGTCAATCTAGTGAACTTGCATCTAGCAAGCACCCACGCGTTGCACCAAGTTGTCACCTAACAACTTTGACATGTGAGACCTATCACTACCTTTCAGTAGAGTCGTTCAACATTGTGGTAACCTTACCGCATTATCTGTGCCGTAGGTCAAAATAATATTGGGCTATGGACGTTTCTAGAACGACCACTATATGTGCTTATAGGAATCTCACAATCAAGACTTAAAACGGTTGATTCCCTCGTCGTGGTTCTACCATCCTATGGATATATATTATCACATACATGATATACAAATTACATAATATAAATATTGCCTATATTAATATATAAACATGATACATTAGAGTCAATTATAATAAATTGATTGGCTCTAGGTCACCTACTCTAACAGGTGTATCAACTTCGAAGAAAACATGACAATAGCCGACCTATTGAACAACAAGTAACTAAACAACGAGACTAGTAACATAACCAGATGATTCGCCATTTTAGGTACAGAGAGTGAAAAAGAAAGAGATGGTAATGTATAATGTGAGAGCTTTATTGAGCTTGAGTGCTAAAGTGATGTGTAGTGCGCACTAGCTAAGGCCAATAATTCGTTGGAGGTTTTTTTTTTTTAAGTGTGTCATGTGAAAACCTAGTATATACTAGTAGCAGGTTGGGAGTGCGAGAGTTGCTATTGCTAAATGGCAAGTCATGATCGTTTGGGCCAACGAGGGTTCAAATTTTAAATTGAGAGAAATGATAATGATGGTGGTTAATAATTAATCCCCTACCCTAGAATTTGATTCGAGCCATGACCAGAGCCGATACTAGAATCAATCGACAGATATAAGAGAGTAAAAATCAAATCATCGATCGATTTGAAGAATGGAAGAAGAAGACAAATCGAATTAAGGGAGCAAAGATGAATATCGGGAAGGGAAATGTTATTGACGAGAAAGGGCATGACTAGGGTTAGGTTTCTTGAGAATGAAATTGTAGTAGAAAAAGGGTGAAAGCCGAGAGGAATACGAAGAACAAATGAAATCAATAAGATAAGAAAAGGTGGATGGGGAGATTCTGAAAAAAGAGATGTGACTGTTAGACTGTGAGATCCGAGAGGAAGATGAAGAACAAATGAAATTGAATTCCTAATTTATATGAAACATAAACTTACAAAATAAACCCCAATTTTTGCAAAACTTACATTTTCCCCTAGTTCTCAGTTTCGGTTTTTTAAGTGGTGGAACTGTACCGAAACTGCATAGTACTAGTTTCACCAAATATGGAACTAGAATTGACCCTATGAGGGGTCAATTTCGAGTAGGAACTGGAATTGACACCTTGGGTACCCGTCGGTTTTGGTTCTACCCTACAAATTTGCATAGCCTTATTGGGTATTAAAGTCAAGGTTAGGTATACTTGGCCCCGACCACAAAAAATAAACACTAGATAATTTCCCAGATACATAGAGTAATACAATACACTAGGATTGAATTCAAGGATAGTGGTCTCAACCTTTAACCCCGGTTTTTATCATCCCTAAAAGTGGCTATTAAACCACGAGATTAAGTCTTGGAGGCATTTCTTGCTAATGACTTGTGTCAACCAATTTTTGAATACTTAATATTAATTAAATAAAGTTTAGTGTAATGTTACTCTTTTCTAAAAATGTTTGAAAATTTTTATTTTAAATGATGTGTTGTTCCATGTGGTATTGATATATCAATTACTAAGCTTGTGTTTGTTTTAGTATTTTGGATAGTATTTTTGATATTTTTAGAGTTAGGTGGGAATAACGAGGTAGGATTTAAAAATTAACAAAAACACCCCCTAGGTTGGTTAAATAACTGAACACCCCAGTAATAAAAACACTAAAAATTATAAAAATACCCCCACCCACCCATTAAATTCTGGCAGCCAGCCACCACCGTTGGAGGGTGGTCGGAGTCGCCATATCGGCGCATGACCAACTAGATCTGACCGGTCGTGCAACGAGATAGCCTTTTCTAGTCAGATCCACCATGGCCAGATCTGGCTGTTGATGACCATATCTTGGCCATCATTGACGACCAGCTACGGCCAAAGATCTGGCCTTTCTGTGGTCGTTAATGGCCAAATCTTTGGCTGTGGATCTGGCCAGCCAGATCCACAGTAGATCTGGCCGAAAAATGATAGATCAGCGCATTACCAGCCAGATCTAGCTGATAGTGCGCCATTATACCAGATTCTAACCACCTTCTAGCGGTGGTGACCAGAATTTGGCAAATGTGGGTGGGTGGGGGTGTTTTTGTCAATTTCTAAACTTTTTTTTTCTGGCGGTGTTTAGTTAAATTAATAAATTTAAGGGGTTTAAAATGTAGTTGAAGAAAATATAATAGTATTTTCAGAATAGGAAAACAAACTGGTATTTTGGAAATAGTATGAATAGAATAGTTAAAAATATTTAAACAAACATACCCTAATGGCTATATTTGTTTCCCTATTCAAAATATTATCCTATCCAATCCTATCAAAATACATATTTGTTCAATATTCTCAAAATCCAATCTTATTCTATCCAACTCAAAATATTTAGATTTTTTTAATCCCTTAGGTTTTGTTAATTTAACTAAACACCCCAATAATAAAAGTTTATAAATTAACAAAAACACCCAACCCACCCACACATTCCTAACAACAGGTCACCACTACCGGAAGGTGGTCAGAATCTATCAAAATGGTGCACGACCGACTGGATGTGGCCGGTTGTACATCAATCTGGCCTTTTTTGAACCAAAAAATGCTAGATCTACATCCAAAGATCTAGCCGTTGACGACTAGATTTGGCCACATGTGGTCATCAACCGTGGCCATATCTTGGTTATTGTTGACGGCTAAACAATGGTCAAGATATGGTCATCATCAACAACCAGATCCATGGCGAATCTGGCTAGAAAATGGCAAATCTACATCAAAGATCTAGCCGTTGACGGCTAGATTTGGCCACATGTGGTCATCAACCACGGCCATATCTTGGTTATTGTTGACGGCTAAACAACTGTCAAGATATGGTCATCATCAACAGCCAGATCTATGGCGAATTTGGCTAGAAAATGCCAGATCAACGCACTACCGACCAAATCAACGCACTACTGGTCAGATCCAGCCGGTCGTGCACCATTCTGGCGACTTTCGGCCACCATCCTATGGTGGTGACCTGCTACCGACATTTAATGGGTGGGTGGGGGTGCTTTTTTTTAATTTTAAAACTTTTATTGTAGGGGGTGTTTAGCTAAATTATCAAATGTAGGGGATTAAAAAAGAATCTAAATATTTTCAGAAAATGTTTTCCAAAAATTTACCTAACATATTTTCAAATTCAAATCCTATTCTCATAATAACAACCCAACTTAACTTTTTCAAAAGTACTATTCTAAATACTCTACCAAACACAATCAATAGTATCATATTCCAAATTGGATGGAATTTTAAGTTGCCTATATAAGACAACTTAAAAGTAGGTTTAATAAGAGAATTCATTCAATCAAAAATTGAGAGAATTTTTTAGAGAGAAAGACCCTAGAAATTGGGATTTCCTTTGATTAATTTGCAAGGCTCTCTGTGTGGTTACTGAAATGTGATTCTGCCCTTGAATCGAGTTGCTAAGAATCAAAGAGAAGGAGCCTCCAAACGAAAGTAAGTAATTCACTACCTTGTATGTGAATTAACATGTAAAATAATTAAATCAATGCCTGAATCATGGGATTAAGGTTTAATAAA